ATGGTCAATCATGGTCAAAGATAGTGAGATGTCTTATGACGGTGACTGACGGGAATGAAGGGGAATGGTAGCGAATGATGGGGAATGATGGGGAATGACACCCAATGACAGCAAATGATGCCAAATCACATAAATACAAGAAAAATATATAGTCCGATTTGGCAGTTTGGTGTATATAGAACATGAACGTATTACCAAGGATGCCTCAGCGTTTATTTAGCGGCCAAGTATCTTGGCAGCGAAAATGAAGACTTTTGGAAGGCAAAGGAATTCTTTTATTTGCTTTAGTCTTATATAGATTCATCGCCAGGAATCAAGGAACAAAAAAAAAAAGCCGTGAAACGATGTTTCGTAAACTGAAAATATTTTTTTCTGTAGCTTTGGTAATCGGCGTAATTTCGTTGGTGTTCTTCCTCTTTTATTCTACCAAAACCCACTATAAAAAATTGAATGAAACTACACAGTACATTGCTATTCTTGAGACCAAATTTTCGACCCAAGGAAGTCGGCACAAAGTTGAAGATAAACTAGAAGATTATATTTCGAATTTAAAGAAAAACAATGATATTACCAGTGTAACTGTTCCTCCATCGACGAAAACTAAAAATGCCGTCGAGGTGATTGCTACACCAAATTCAAAGTCCGAAGAAAATCTTTCTGCTACAGCAAATGGAGGCGATAAAGTCGACCAACTTATACAAAAGTCTTTGGAAAAGAGTAAGCCTGAGCTTCATAGCGAAGGAGATGAACCAGTTGATTCTACAGATAGTTCTACTGAACAAACACCTACCATCGAAGTAAACTCTGAACAAAAAACGCAAAGGACCGCACCGGTAACTTCTGCTGTTAATCTAAAACCACCTTCCGATGAAGAAGACGAGGACCTGGATTTATGCCCTGAAAAGCCGAAATCGTTAAGTAAGTATGCACAAAACAAGGAGAGATTCTTTGGGTACAGAGTAGTTGTTTCTATTGATTGAATTGTAGAAAGAATGGTTTGTTTGGGATGGTGTATCTTCCACGTGTATGAATATCAAGGGTGGATCCAGGGGGGGTAAAAGGGGGCTGAAGCCCCCCCCCCCCTTCAGCAGAAAAAAACGATGCTTTTTTATATTGTTTTCCATTGTGTTGACGGAAGAAACTCAATTAGCCCCCCCTAAACTCAATTAGCCCCCCCCCCCTAAAATTTTGGCTGGATCTGACCTTGAATATGTAGTGAAATAACTTCTGCTCTTACCACTTAGTACAGAAGTATATTTTAGTGCTTTTCAAGGTTCATCAGAATGGGATCCGAGGGGTTTGATACGAACAAAAAAATGCCTATTGGTTGTGACAAATTGTTACACCCTGTTATGACGAGGCTAATAATATTATGACAGAGAAGAATGACAGCTGATTATAAGTAATTATTAGTCATTAGTAATATTAAGTAATAGTACACAAATGACACGGCTATTGTGAACAATCCACACATACAGTAAAGTGTCGGTAGTGGTTGGCCAACCTCTTACCAACACCTTACCATTACTTTATCGACCACTTACCGACACCTTACCGTCATCTTAGCGACAACCAGATTTCAAAGATAGTGTAGAATAGATGTCAAATACAGCGAAATATAAATCAAACTCTCCGTAAATGCATTGTGATCCAAGAAAAGACATGAAAGCCCATTTTTGTGGATGATAAAGAGATATCGGACTGCAGTTTTGCTAAAATTAGCGATCGTGCATAAATATTGGAGCAGACTAGCAGCAAATTGATCCAGTAGTACTAGTAACTCAAAGTTGGCAAATATGGGAATGCTATTAACGGCAAATAAATCCAGTATTAACTCAAACTAGCCTTCACTTTAATGAACATAACAAAGAAAGAAATATGCAAGTAATACACAACCTGCTTTTCACAACTGTTGTGAAATACACTGTTACAACTGGTATAGACCCTTTGCAGTTTGCATGTGACGTCAAAGCAGCTCATAAAAGGATTTCATCCTCATTAGAATTGGGAGTACCTATTATCATGTCCTCCAAATTGAGCTGCATTCCAATATGCTGCAAGGGGTCTATAACAGTATTAGTCAAATCCAACTAGCAGTCTATCATCAATGGTGCATTCTGATTGGATGACTACTACTAGGCTATACTGTAAGCTATACATGTAGCATACTAGTAGTGAAAGGTGTCTTTTTAAACACCACAACATCAAATTTTACTTTCATTATAAACTTGTTTGCATCTATATATTTCATAGACTAGTTGGATTTGATTAAAACAAATCAGTCCTCTTGCCCTTGTGGCCTACGAGTAAATTAAGCCCATTAGCTCTTCTGCCTCCTGGGCTATTGACTCATTCCATTTGTGCTCGAGGACTAATTGCTAATTATGGAGTGTGTACAAACAAGCAAGCTGTAAAAAAAAAATGTTTAAAGTGATAATGACTGTGTTAGTGTTAGTCCTTCACTTTTTACAGTGTACTCCCATGATAGGCTAAGGTCCAAAATGTCCAGTACATTATGAACTTGTGCGTAAGTAAACATTATTTTGAGGCTGATTTTTCTTGAAGAGCAGTTTTGCTCCTGCTTCAACCCCCTCAGACTTTCTCGTAAAAATATAATATATACATGTAGAATACAAATAAAGTATTAATTACTCTTTTAATTATGATGGCAGCTGGGCCTCTATATGTGAATCAAGTTATACCAAAGATGGAAGAGCTTGAAAAACATTTATCTGAAGCATATGGTGGTTGGGTAAAAAAAGGTGGAGCATGGAGACCCACTAATTGTAAAGCAAGAGTTAAGGTATGCTACATGTTACTATTTTATAATATTATTCGATAACTTAACTGTACATCTAACCGGGAAATGGAAGTAATAGACCTTTTTCCTAGAACATAAACATTTTAACTTTTTTATCTTCTTTTTTACCTCTGCTATTTTGATCAGTCTTTGTGTAAAAAATAAACATGTTTTATGCTTTCGTTAAATAATTTCAATAATAATAATTATTATTCTAATAACTCAATTTTTTCCCTGATTTAAGATGGCACTTATAGTACCATTTAGAAAACGATATGAACAACTGGGAATCTTTGTTCGACATATGCATCCAATGTTAAAGAGACAAGAATTGGATTACAGAATAATTATAGTAGAACAGGTAAGCTAATCAATATTAACATAAACCTACTATAAACCTGGTCTCACACAACTTCTGCTTTCTGATTGGCTGAGCTAGTAGTGGTCTATAAGTGATAGAGTACTAGCAGTGAAAAATAGTGGTTTTGAAAACCAAAACAATGCAAAAATAAGTTATTTCAACCTAATTTCAACATTGTTTTTTCATTCATTTACTTGACACATTGGTAGGTTTATACTAAGACAATTAGACCTCTCACCCTCATATAGACTCTTAAGCTGTTCAGGCTGCAGGTGTAATTGTTGATTATATCTTCATTATGTATCTACTCAAGCTTTGATATGCCTCAAACCTTAATTTGCTTATCATGCTGGGTAGGGTATTGTTGGTTTGTTTGTCTTTATTGCATTCTAATACAGTAGAGTCATATTTTTATACAAAAGTAATAAATAATGATCTATTATAGGGAAATATAGTTGTACCAAATTCTTATGTAATGATAGAGCCTGAGGGCTAAGTTAACTGGAAAGTTTTCTAGTTAGCCCCCAGTATTTTTGTTTCTAATTAATAGCAGGTCAGGTATTGTTTGTTCAGAAGCTAATAAGTCAGTCACTTATTCATCTTCACCCCTATGATGATCCTACTCCTTGACTGAAGCTTGATAATAAAACATAAAGGTGAACAAAAAGATTAACAACAGTACTGTAAACCTCCAAAAATAAGCCTCCTGAATTTAAGCCATTCAAAAATAAGCCCCCTTAATTTAAAATTAAAATGAATATAGGGCATAAATGTAACCATGTTCTTAATTTTTATTTGTATTTATAGTCTGGAGCTACACCTTTTAACAGAGCAATTCTCTTCAACATTGGATACAAAGAGTCTTTGAAATTTAAAGACTTTGACTGTTTCATTTTCCATGATGTTGATCTTATTCCAGAGGATGATCGTAATATGTATACCTGCCCTACATCTCCTCGGCATATGTCAGTAGCGGTTGATAAATTTAATTACCAGTAAGTGGTCCATGTCTGTAATTATTACTGTTTGATTATTTAACATGTTTGTATGAAAGTTTTAATGAGTTTTTTAATTTCATTTTTTCTTTAGTTTGAATTCATTGGTCAGAATTTTTTTTAATTTCTAATTTTAGATGATGTTAATGTTTATTGGAATAGATTGGATTCTGAAATATTTTCTGTGCTTGATCTTTAATTGATTTCTTGTGGTCATTATAATGATTTTAAATAATTGTTGTCTTCAGTTTTATTTTTGCTATCAAATTAGCTTTTTATCGGTTGTTCAACAATGAACATTCCACAATCGTATTATCGTTTCCATGGTTTTTAGCAAACATGTGGAGCCTCAAACTTTAATTTGATTGCTGATTCAATTTTCTTATACTTTATTCATGTATCCAAGGCTGGTTTGAGCTAACTGATAGATATTTACCATAATTATTGAATACCACTACAGGGAATGAACTTAGACTCTGTTTGTGCCTTATAATTTACTAAAATATTTCTCAGAATTAATTGTGGCCATAGTAAAAATGTAAACAGAATTCTGTATATATTACTTATAACCTTATGAATAAGCTGGTTCTTTGTCAGGACTTTTATGTAGTTTAGCTTATGCTTAAGGTAAAGAAGAAACCCATTTCATTCATTTGTTTCTTTGGGAATATACTCTGCAATAATTGTTCTTTTTTATCTTTCTGATAAGAAACTCCTTATTTAGTATTAGAACTTTGTTTACATTCTGTTATGTTTCAATTCTATTTTACATAACTTTAGTCACAATTTTGATTTTTTTCTTGTACAGATTGCCTTATGCCTCTATCTTTGGTGGGGCAGGATCCTTCAGAAAGAATCACTTTGAAGAAGTTAATGGATTTTCTAATAAATTTTGGGGATGGGGAGGTGAAGATGATGATCTTTATCAGAGGTAAGTCATTTATTTTGCCCTAAATAATAATTACCCAGTAAATGATGTTTTATCTATCAAAGGGATTTAAAATAGTTCCTTTGCTGTTAGCTATGTGATAAGTGGTTTTTAAATGACATCCTGGCGGTGGTAGGTGGTGATATTTTTCCAAATTTACAATAATTCGTTTATTAAGAAACAGCTTTGCTCAGTTAACTAGACATCCATTGTACTTTCAGCTGCATGACCTGTTTCCATACCAACCATAATGCTTGAATAAGACAACATAGTTCTTCTAAATTATGTTTAATACATGTAGGCTTCCGCTTTACCCTTTCCCAACAACCATCTCCCTTAAGGGCACTAGACAGCTGCTTCTAGTCTAATAGGCTGTTTCCATTTTGCTATCATTTTACTGCCGCTATCAGAAAGCATATGTTTTACAAATTTTCTCTCTTATTCAAATTATAATCCCTCAAGGAATAGTTACATGTAGTTTTTTAATCCCTTGTGAGAATAACTCAGGTACGAAACAGTGTAGGAAAAAAAAAAAAAGAAAGTGTGCAAGTGGTGAATAAAAAATTGTGATTGGCTGATATCTGCATAGTACTGATTCTGCTCTTATGATTGGCTGCATTTTTATTTTACGATACGATTGGATAACTTTGTATCTTAGTGTTGCAAGTCATTGTGCTCAAGCTATAATGCTCTAATACTTCTGGTATTGAAGCTTTATTTTCAATTGTGATGGTAATCCTCATCAAAGTGACCCTAGTTTCAGTAGCTGTATATACGTTAGCCATGAGCAGAGGTCAAGGGAAAACAATGGGTGAACATTTTTAGGGTACATATTTCCCAAATACCATCTATTTGTCCCCTTAAACAGTCCCACAATGCACTGCAATGCCAACTCAACCCAGTTTTTACTCAATATTTGAATGGCTAATAGAGTCAATCATGATTAATCTTCTTTCATAATGTCTGTCTGATTTTTAGAATTGTAGCCAAGGGACATCATCTTACAAGACCTTCCCTTCAAATTGGACGCTACAAAATGATTAGGGTTCATCACCATCAAAGTTCTAAAGCCGACCCTAACAGGTAAGGTTATAAGAAATCTTATGATAAAATAAAATAGGAAAAAATGAACTTTTTGGTTAAAGAGACCTTTACCAAAATTTCTTGAGTGACCAAAAAACAAGGTCTTCAAGTAGAGGTTGGACTTGATGTGTTCATAAACTTACTTTATTTTATCAAGTTCAACTTCGACTTGAAGCCACTGTTCAGGGTCCGAAATTAACTTTTGAGCTAAGTGGTCCTTTGGACAACCATGTTCTAATTCCTAGGCGTCCAGAGCAAAACTTAGGAGTCCCACTAGGATGCCATTTTGTAGAGCCTGAATGACAATGGTCAGCGGTTAGCTATAATGCAGAAGATGCATTCAAATTTGTCAGTGATATTCAATGGCTTCCGACAAAGGCATTATCTCGAATTTTTGAAAGTTTATCAGTCATAAAATGAACTTTCTGGGTTTTAAATACTAGAAGAAATATAATTTAGAATTATATTCAGACTTTACAGACTCTTATTTTGTTATGAAAGAAAATACCTTGGCAAAAATGTAGGTCGTCAGAAGGACAACCACATTCCAAATTCTAGTCGTCATTTGCAAATTTCAGTCATCCCTGACGACTGGATGACTGCTAATTTCGGACCTTGTTGTTTCGCAGTCACTGAAGTGAAACATTACCTTCCTTGCAAACATATATTTTTCCACTTCTGGTCAGATTCATCAAATTTAAACTTGAAAAAAATGTGTTTGGCAAATGAAAATCACCTAAAATTGTTAAAAATGTATAATATGGCCAGTAGTTTAACATTATGTGAAATAAAATTCAAAAATTTGATAAACATTTTCCCTGGGCAAATATTTTAAAACAAGTATCAGACATCCCTGGCAATATACGCTGTACATCTTGCTTTACTGGCAGCTAATTTACCAAACATGCTTTATTAAACACGCCTTAGTTTTGAAGTAAACTTGTTGAATTAAAATACCCACACCATTGCTGGTTTAAAAACAATAATCATTAAAAAGTGATAAATGTGTTAAACAATTTGATTTTTAAACAAGATTCTGGCATTTCTTGCTATTGCTATCTCAATTTAGCCAAAACATTTACTGTTCCAAAACTCATGTAGAAACCTTAAATCCTCACAACAAGAATTTGGCATCTTTTCACATTCCCTGGATGATAGTCAGAAGACCCAAAAGCTTGGGTAACAGTAATATTGTTATTTTTCTAAATGATAATAGAACAGATAAGAGTATTGAAACCTACATACAATAGATATATTTAACCTAAACCTATTTGCAATAGATTTTATTTATTTTGAATATAATTAATTATATAACATTGGTTTCATTTTACAGATCAGATATGCCATATGCCTGTAAAAACTGCATTAAGGCTGCGTTCATAATGTATGGCAGAGAAGGGGGTGGGGGGCAGGTGAAACCTTTAAATGACAAAAGAATTCTTAAGACCCTTTCCCCCTTGAAATCATCTCTCATAGCTTCTAAAAATTTTGCATCCCCCCAATTCTCTGAAAAAAATTTTCGTTCCCCCCCCC